TAACTAATTTGGTAAAATAAACTATAAGTAAAATAAATACATTGAGAATACGTAAAATAATAAAAATATAAAATAAAGTAACAATAATAATAAAATTTAGAATATTACAAATACTTATAACACCAAATATTCTTAGATTTCGTTTAATTATGATTATTATCAGTATTTGAAAGATCTTTAGAGTTATACAGATCTTCTGTATTTCTAGAATTTGCAGAATTCTTAGTATTTTCAGAATTCTGAATTAAGAGATCGTCATACTGCGTCATCCACATGACTTCATTATGACTGGTTAATTGCTCCGTTGACAACGCAAATAATAAAATATTATATCATATAACATTGAACTGATTCTCAAAAAATAAAATACTTTACCTGTTTGAAAATTTTGAATTCATAATAATAAAACATACTTTGTTTTATATCTATCATTTTAATGCAGTTTAATCATTGGATTGTATATGATCAACTGAAAATAAGTATTTTCATAAAATGCTTAAGTTTTTTATCTTCAAGTGAGTTGTAATCATGCAGTTAAACTAAGTTGCGATTTTAAAATTAGACTAATAAAAAATTAATTTATTAAAAAATTTTTCAGACAAAGTAATTACAATTCGCAATAATATATAAAGTTTGTTTAGGTGAGCCTTTTTTAAAGTTAGTTAGTTTTACAAGAACACATTATTTCATTTATGAGTCATCGCTATATTTTCTTTGTTTATGTTCATGACTGCTCTTAGTCACATAACTTATTTTACAAAGTTAACGAAATTGACAAATTGTTGTCATATTAGATATATTTGATATATACTATATTTATAATATTTATTATGTAACAACACCATAACTGAAGAGATACAGCATATGTTCTAACTTCACATGATTGATACATTCAGTCATATTTTCTGTTTAATTAATTAGAAAACTGGATACATCTAAGTGTTTACCTTTATTGCAATAATATGTAGCTAGATGAGTTAGAAATACATTATTCAGATTAATTACTCCTTTCTTATATATTAAATAAATAATATCATCATTATAAATATAGATTGCTATACAATTATAAGATATGACCTGATTGCACATCTTAAAATCATGTTCTACACGATCCAATCTGCAAGAACTGCATATAAAAAATGTAATAGATTGTATATTAATATTTTTTTCATGTCTATTTTTTTCTCTTGTCAAAAATTCAGGTAAAACTTATATATCTCTTAGAAAATTACAGATCTTAAGAGATCAATGCCTTATTCTAATTCTTTTTTAATCTAATATTATAATAAATTGTATTAGGTCAAACTTTTAATAAAATTGAAAAAGTAGATTGTAAAATTTTTTTTATTTTAAAATTATCTTGATCTTTCCTTTTTATCTAAAAGAATAAACTTATTATTTCCATTTTTGAATTTTATTTTAAAAAAAAAAAAAATATTGCAATTTTGAATCTGAATTGATTTTCAATATCAATATTTAAATATTTGAAATATAATCTGTATTTCAAATGGAAAACCCTAATTTAAGAAAGTTACTAATTATTATTATTTTTTATTTTGTTTATAAAAAATGATAATTATCATCTAATATTGCTTTGTTAGAACTATTTTTAAAATTTATGATATTATTTATCATTTTTTTTTTAAATTTAATTATTATTATTTAATTTTTAACTAAATATCTAAATTTTTCAATAATTATAATCAAAAAGAAACTTTGTATTGATATTATCAGACTAGTCATCACAAAGAAACAAAATTTTGCTTTAGTTACTTATTCTATTACTAAACTTTTCATTTCAATACTATTTATTATACATCTATTCATAAAAAAATTAGTTTACTACAGCTTTTTCTAATTATCCTAATGTTATAGAACTGGTGAATGTAATCGATAGTTTTATCAAAGCATATACCAAACTCATTACTATATATTTTCTTCTAATTGCAATATAAGTCAGTTCTAAATTTTAACCGGAATGTAATTTATTTTTGAATTGTCAATTTTGAACCCATTTGATATTATAACTAGCATTATGAATGACAAATGTGATCATATAAACCATGTAATATTGAGATATTCTATTGCAAATTTAAAGTAATGAAAAAGCTTAGGGTACCAGTAACTTTATAAAAAAATAATTTATATCAACAAATCCATCTAGTTACCATATAGCATTATGTTGTAATTAATCTAAACCAAATTTTTTTTACAGATTTTCATACCATTATCGAATAAATAAAATAAAGACATTATTTCTTTATATAAAAGTTAAATTACACTTTTAAAATTTTTTTAATGCAAAAGTATATCTTATTTATATATAGCTACTAAAAAGATTGTTAAAATGTAAAAATATAATTGATAATATAAATAATGATTTTAATTATAAGTTCTTAAATAAAGCAATTTAAATATAAAAAATTTTATCATGTTATTTTAACGTTAGAAATCTAAATAAAAAGAATGAGACGTAATATTCAAAAATTATGCAGACAAATTTAAGTTACGAAAATATAAAAAGAATTTTAAATAATAAATCAAAAATATACTTTTATTTTTATTTTTGATAGCGTTACTGATATTATAATAATAGATAAAATGTTTATATGATGAAGTATCAATAGTATTAAAAAATTATAAGGAATGCTTGATCAAATTTTATGTTGAAATGACAAAATCTAGGAATTAAATGTGATGAAAAAACAATGTTTATTATTGATTTTTATGTGCTGATTTAAAATTCAATTTTTGGTTAATATATATTTTATCTTTATGCTTACATAACAAAAATTTTATTAATTAGATTGTTGGCACAGGTAAATTGTCTTAATTATTTATTTTTTTTGGAATTTGGATTATTTTTTTTGATAAGTTTTTTGATAACTTCGGATTGCAGTGGTAGTTGATTTTTTTTCTAGTATTTGATAGATAATTATTTTTTTTCCGTTCCTTTTTTATATTATTTTTTTTTGATTATTAAATTTTCCAAATTTATTGTTTTATTAGAGTCAGTTTGATCTTCTGCTAGGAATAAAAAAGATTCCATTTCAGTACCTACTTTAGCTTTCTAAAGTAAATTAGAACTAGGAGCATCAACTTAATTTATACAAATAGAGCATGAGATGTTGAAAATTTTTGACGGGATAAAAAATTTTTAACCTTAAAATGAACTTTCAAGATTCATAATACACATTCAGGACTCTTACAAAACTTTTAAAAGAGAATATGATAAAGCAAAATGCAAAGGTTTATTTATAAACAAATTATACAACTCGTGATAATAAAAGATTTTAAACTTTAAAACTTGTAACTAAATGGAAAATGCATATCAATGTTTTAAATGATGAATTAGCAAGAACTGCGAAATATTTATATACTGATTAATTCTACTTATCATTTCATATTCATAATACTCTAAATATTATGCAAGATGAAAAAGAAATTAAAAATAATGAGCAGAATGATAATTTGGATGATGACTCTAATGATGAAGCTTCATCTCATAAAATCTGAATTTTAAGAAACAAATAATCTATGTTGAATAGAATGACTTTAATAGGTTTCTCTTATGTTTATTCTATGAAATTATTCTATTCATTTTAAACGCAAGGTAATTATCTTTTATGATATGATAATATAAATTTATATTTTTTTATCATATGCCATAGAAGTATGAACCATATTTGAATAAAAAATCAAATCTATTTTTCATAGTAAGCTTTACAAAAACCCATCAATTTTGAAAAATATATTACTGTTAGATAGCAATTGTATGTTTAGCATATAGTCAAAATATTTCAATGATTGTAATATGATTATAAAATGATTAACAGAAGTATAAAATATATTTGTAATATCTTTTATATATGCTAAAAATTGAGTTTAAAACTTACACACAATAGCATTTAATAAAATAATACTATCATTATGCAAATAAAAAAAATTCATACATAATATAGAAATATATTTTTATGATATCATTATCATATTTTGCAAATATTAGCATCATAAATAACAATATTCAGATGTCAATATATGAAAATGCTTGGAAAATACACTGCTGTCTTAATATTCATTTTCAGATTAAGACTTCAAAGGGTAATTTGCACTACACATTGTCACATAATTTTAGTATTGAATTATTTCATTTCTAAGAGAACTAAAATTTATAGATAAAAAATATAGAGCAATTTTATAAATGTATTTTTTCTAAATCATTTACAACACTATGTGATATTTTTACAATAATAAAAACAGAAATTACTTTAATATAACGAAAATATTGCAAGTATAATTTGATAAAATAAAATACCTATTATTAATGATTTGTTGCTAATTTGCACTTGTTCAACTCAAGAGTTTACGTACTAATGATTCCTTTACTACACTAGGTTTTGTAGGGATTTTTAAGTCAATTGTGATTTTATCACATGTTTTAATAACCTGTTGTGTATCCTCTCTCGTTATCATGGCTATTAAGACCTTTTTAGTGACCATTCATACGAAGATGCCAAGTTTGGTAACAATTAATTGATTCTTCCTCAGCTTCGGTTGATCAGTTACCTTTAAGTACATCAGAAGCATCTGTTTTCAAACTTCATCGATAATATATGCATCTATTTCATTATACAGTTCTCTTGCACTATTTATTGATTGAAATATTAATTAATTTTAATTAATTAATAAGAAAAAGAGTAATTAAACAAAATTGTTGAATACAAACCTTTTATATATTGATAAGAATTCAGTCGTGAGCTTCACAATGGCAACATGCAATCTGTAATGGCACATATTGTACCAACTACCTACATTTTTAACCAGTGAACCTAATCTATCATCAGTTTTAGAGATATTACACATGCGTATAATTAACTCTTCGTATAAATAAGTTGAATTATTTCTTGTTTGAAGAAATAGAGCCTTGAATTCTTCTTGTAATTGATTTTTGGTATGCTAATTTGAAATAAAGTAAATTAGTTAGTATTTAGCATAATATTATATGCAAAAATATCATTGTTACTACCTGAGAAATTCCCGGAAGTGATTGTTGTGGTAACACATTACTATGTTGTAATGTGGTTAATGTCAAAGTCGTCCCATCAGTCCCAATCCTATTCATCAGCCCATTTCGAATATTTATTGCCAGCTCCAGAACACTTTGTGGTGAGCTAGCCAATAAGCTATTACAAACTCATTGGACATACTTTGGAATTGTGTTGGTAGCTTTGGCTGTAAATCAACTCTGATATCGATGTCATAGATTTCCCATCATATTCCTTTTTCAGGTGACTTTCGAAATAATGCTTGTACACGAAGACAATCTTGTCCACTATTATTGTTATTATTAAGTAATGTCACAACAGAAACAAATGAACTTAAATCTTCATCATCATCTGATAAAAATATATGACGATGATTTCCATTGATCTGCACTTATTTCATTTGATAATAAAGAATTTGCTGATGATTTCTGTTGGCTTTGTGTAGGAATCAGATCAGTTTCATTACCATCATTTGGTAAAGAATTTGCTGACAATTCCTGTTGGTTTTGTGCAGAAGTCAGATTATTTGCTGGAACCGGGCTTGAATCCTCCAAAAGTTCCTATTTCTTTTTCTTTTTATTATATTGTCTTTTAGTTTTGTTGCATTGGTGGGAACCGTTCTACCGCTTTCTGATCAGTATTTTGCTTTTTACTTTATCATGTAGTTCTCATTTTTGTTGCTGGAGTTGTTGCTACCAGAGTTGAACTTGCTGCCTTATCATTTAATGAATTATCTGTAATTATTTCAAAAAAAAGAAGAATAGAAAATAAAACAATATAAGTAAATAAAAAAAGAATTTAATAATATGAAATTTATGTAACATACTTTCAGCTACTACCGCCACAGTTAATTCGCTGGATAGTGCCAATGCTAAAGTATTAAAAGTAATGTTAAAGACAGTTGATAGGAATATTTGAAATATTTGATTATTTTTTTATTTTACTTACTAAATTTTCGTTTACGAGCCATAATAAAGACTTTGTTTTCGCTGTAAAGAAATTTTTTGAATCAATTAATCGCAAAAAGAATTATCTTAATTTTCTTGATTTATATATAAATAGGCGCTGTAGTTTAACCCTGATTAATTAACGCTATCCTAATTTATATTAAAGTCCGTTTCCATAAAATTCTATAGACGCAATAAACAAAAGCCTAATATAAACAAACAAGGCAACGAGGTAATATGATTTAATTTAATAAAGTTAGTTCAGTTTTTTAGCAATAAAATTAAATCTGTTTTAGTTATTTTGATTTTAAACATCAATATTTTTTTTTTTTTTTAAAAAAAAAAATAATCTGTTTTCAGCTAGTTTAGTTTTTAATGATGGTTGACAAATAATGTGGATAATTATTTTTAAATAAAATTTGAAAGCAACCAAAAAAATTTTTATCTAATTAGAACAAAAAATTTTTACGATTCAAATTATTACCATTGGTTATTTTTATTAGTTACTAACTAGATTAGGTTAGTGTGTGGTGACTTTGTCGCCGCTAGTTATGGTAATTATACTGCTTTAGTTGTAATATATCCTTAGTTATCGCCGTGATGAGCCGAAAGGTTCATCTGAAGTGCCGCATCCACATTCTTCTGAAAGGGCGCCAGCCCTAACCTATAAAGTCAAAAATCGAAAAAAAATAAACAAAATTATTAATCAATAATTATTAATTAATTAACTTATAATCAAATCAATAATCAATAATAGGAATAGACAATATATAATAGTAGAAAAAATTTTTTCATTATGCAACTGACTGTGCCATCGCGGCAGATCCAAATCTTTTTTTTTTGTTTGAAAAAAATAATATTATTTGAACAACCTTTATTCCTTGAGGTAGATTCCTCTCCTACCTACCTTTACCTTATCCTCTATCTCCTAGTGTTAGTGTCAGTGTTAGTGGTGTTAGTGT